GTACTTTTGTGCTTGGGATATGAAAACCTCATCTTTAGGCTCCTTATAACCTTTCTTCATAATCTTCCACGTGTCTTGCAACCTGAGCAGCGCCTTCATCTTGATGCTCCACTTGTCATAGTTGCTTTGGTTGAGAACTGGAACTTGGACGGGAAATATCCCACTTGCCATCTTCAAGATCTTTATGGCTTTAATACCACTTTGTTGGAAAAGAAGCTTTTAGCTCAAGGCTAATTAGTAGGAATTTGGGAAGAGTAAGTGTTGTGGAAGAGGGGATTACTATTACTTCTCAAATTTGGCTAGTATGAAATGGCTAGGCGTCACTCCCTTTTATAGTTCTTAAAGGAGTCTTCTACACTGCAACTTCTAACGACCATCTAGTCTAATTAATAAATATCAGCTACTAGGGGTGTTCAAAAGCGGTTAACCGAACCGGTTAACCGCTTTTCTAAATCGAACCGGATTTTTGGTTTGGGAAAATTTCCAAACCGAAACCGAACTGATTTTAGGGAAAATCGGTTTTTTGGTTAACCGAAAAAACGGTTAACCGTTTTAAAAAAAGCGGTTAACCGGTTTTCCCTTTTTTTTTTTTTTAATTTTGTCCTAAATTAAATTGTAAATATAGACAATACATTGGGAACTAAGAAAAAAAAATTGGGTTGGGACTTTAGATGGAGTGAATTAGGGATTTATTTTAGTTTAGGTTATTATTTATTTATTTAATATATATATTTGAAAAACCGGTTTAGAAAATCGGTTTTCGGTTAACCGTTTCTAATTTCTCCCGAACCGAAAATTCGGTTTTTTGAAATTTTCAAACCGTAACCGAACCGTTTTTTCGGTTAGGTTTTTGCATTTTTTTGAACACCCCTATCAGCTACTACTTTCCACAATTAATAGTTACCTAACAACTTTCAAATAAATGAGATATTTTTACGAGATCTTTCTAATTACAAGACCTATTATTTGAGCTAAATACTTGGGCCAAATATGGGTTTTACATTAGGCTTAGGAAGAAATATTAAACTAGAAATCTATATGGGTTTAACCAATCAAGTTTAATATTCAACAGGAAACTGTAATCCAAAGCTGCCAAATTGAGACAAATTTTGTGATACATAGGCCAGTGGGAACTAATTTTGAGCACCACAAGTTTGAGAAGAATTTTGAGAGCCATGCTGAGAAGTATTATTCGTGGATATTTGATATGACATATCAAATCGATGACAGCATTGCAATGCTATATGTCCACTCTTGCCACAAACTTGACACATAACCTTGTTCTTTGTATAACCTTTGCCACGACCTTGTCCTCTACCAACACCAATATTGAAGTTTTGATTGAAACTAGGATTAAAACCAGAAAAATTACCAGATGGAAACTATTGTGACTGAAATTGAGGTTAGGAACCCTTATAAAACTCTTGAGGACCAACTATTGAAGAAGCATTAGGAGTATTAGAAGCTTACCTTCCTTGAAAATTCTTAGCTGAAGCCAAAAATGCAATGACCTCGTGTAACCTTGCATACACTGTAAGTTACTTCTCCAATCGCATCTCATGTTTGTGAAAGAAAAATTGAGCCAAGTAAACAAGAAATGATCCGCCTTTTTCCAGCTGAAATGGTTAGAATTAGGTTTCTTTATCACCTCTGGAGATTCCTCTGTCTTGATAGCTGAGAAAAGTAACGGACATGGCTTCGTTCTTGTAACAATTCCATCCAATACATAAGCTTATAGTGTTGGTAGAATCTGAGATCGCTTGTAATTGTAATTTTTATTAGTCAGTTTGACAGAGATTGTTAGGCTAGAGATGATAAAATTGAAGTCACTGTTGAAGAAGAATTAGGTTTAGCAGAAATTGAGAAACTTGGAGAATTGAAAGTTCGATTTTCCATTGACGCAAGTCTAAAGCTTTGATACCATGAACGAAATCAGAATTCGATTCAACCTAGAATAGATAACTTAGCTGAAGAAGAAAGGAAAATAGAGGAAGAAATCGGGAGAAAAATTAGATGCAGAGTAGTTTTCACACACACACATATAACAAATATGTATAAATAAACTGAAAAATATAAACAAAATAATTTTTTTTTTAAATTTTGAAAATGTATCTAATAAAATTGTTCTTATCTATTATTTTGATACAAAAAGAAATTTGGTTTTAACAATTTCTTTTGATTAAATAAAATTTCTGTTGAGGTTCCTTCCAAAAAAAAAAAAATTAGTTTTAATTTTACTCCACTTGCTTGAATACTTATCCGGGGGCAACTCCCTCTCTCTCTTTATTTATTCATTTTTTATGTTATTGAGTTAATTTAGAGCGCTTATACTATCTTTAATATTCAGTTCTCTATTATTTTTACTATCATCTTATAGTATAGCTGATACATAATCTTGTATAGTATAATGGAAGAATTCAGATTAATACAGTTCACTTTAATATCAACTAGATTTTTTCTCATGTTATTAAAGATATAATATCTTAGTTTTTATATTTTCTAAGATTGTAACAGAGCCCTGTTGCTTTTTTGTCTAGAATAGAATTCTTGAATCCTCTCAATTTTTATTCCCTGATCCTCAATCTCTTATGTGAAACTTTGTTTTCATCAGCCAAATTTTCATTCTTAGTTTAGAATTCTATTAATTGACACATTGTCTTGTTTATAGAAGTTGTGTTGTGTACATCATCTTCTCTAATCAAAGCATATTTTCTTTTGTTTTTTGGTTATGATTTTATCCTGAGTTCAACTTTGAAAGATGTAATTTTTATTCTATTTTCTATTCAATCAAACATCACTTTAAACTTAATTATTCACATACATATAACAACTGATCTAATCATTACATTTAATTATAACCAATTTTTTTTAAATATAGTTTTTCATCTGCATGCAGTTCCATTTCTATCTAGAAGATGATAGCCATGAAACCTTTTTCACAAGAAGTAATGGAACTTTGGAACGAATGGGAAATTCGGGTGATGGTTGTATTGAGCCTCTTCTTACAAGTCATCCTTGTCATATTTGGTTCCAGACGAAAATATACCAGAAATATTCAGATATTTCTACTTGTTTGGTCAGCATACTTGACAGCAGACTGGGTGGCAACATTTGCTCTGGGAAACCTTGCTCGCAACCAAGTGGATCATGATAGTATGTCTTTCCAATCAAACAATATGCTACAGGCATTGTGGGCGCCAATTCTTCTCTTGCACCTTGGTGGCCCAGACTATCACGGCGTACTCTTTAGAAGACAATGAGTTGTGGTTAAGGCACTTACTTGGACTTGTCATCCAAGTTCTACTAGCAATTTATGTCATGATACGGTCTTGGAACAACAATGCCGCCCTCAGATTTATAGCTATTCCAATGTTTATCACTGGAATTGTAAAGTATGGAGAGAGGAGTTTGGTGCTTTGGTTTTCAAGCGCTCAGAAACATAAAAATTCTTTGCGCTCATCTCTTGATCATGGACAGGACAACTCAAAGCAAAAGAACAATCGTCTTGTTGTGGCTGATATATTGTTCAAAAGATTTAGGTGTCTATTCACAGACCTAATTCTTGATCATCATGAACGAAAAAAGAGCTACTCCCTCATTCACGAAAAGTCAGCAGAAGATGTCTTCATATTGGTAGCGGTTGAGCTTGGATTCATGTATGATGTGCTCTACACCAAGGCAAGCATAATCTATTCCGGATTCGGCATCTTTCTTCGATGCTTCTGCTTCTTCTCCCATGTTTCTGTATCGGTTCTCTTCTTAATCATCATCTTCGTTATGGAAAAGCATGCCTATTCGCTGATCGACATCACCGTAACTTGTGTACTCCCAGCTGGGGCAATTTTTCTGGAGATTTATGCGTTCATCATACTTCTTTTTTCCGACCGGACGAAGCTTTGGCTGTGCAGAAATAATTTTATTTCCAAGGATACACCTGATGATTTACATGACAGCAACAAAAGGTGGTCTGGATCTGTGGGTCAATATAACCTATTCAGTTTTTGTCTCCAAGACATATCAACCAAAACTGCTGGAGTTCAGAAATTTTTCGGAGTTAAAGAAATGATAGATAAGTACCAATATTTGTCTTGGAATGATATCAAAATTGACTTGAAGGAATCGATCTTCAGCCAACTCGTAGAGAAAGCCAAAAGAATTGAAGGTGATCGTTTCGATATCAAGTTATGCAAAGAATTGTTGTCTCAGAGAGGTGATAATGTGCTTCAGAAAATGTACAGTCTTGGTGTATTGAATTGGAGCACAACTGAGGTAGAATTTGATCATAGCCTCCTTCTTTAGCACATTGCTACGAATCTTTGTGATTATGATGATAACATTGCTACGAATCATGATTCTATTATTGAAAAAGTTTCTCAACGCAATATTAGCAAATGCGTTTCAGATTACATGTTTTATCTTTCGGTTGTATGTCCAATCATGTTGCCCAAAGGGATTGGGGAGATCAGGTATAGAGAAACTTGTGCGGAGGCTATGGACTTATTTAAAGCAAAAAAGGTCAAAAACTTTGATCACATAAGTAAAGCTTGTGAGTCATTTCTTCAAAAGGAAACCGATGATTCAAGGGAAAAAACTAAGGGAATTAGAAGCCTATCATTGTTATTTCATGGATGTAAACTTGCTAAGCAATTGCAAGAATTGGAAGTCAAGCTTGGTTGGACCAAAGAAAAAAAATGGAAAATAATAAGTGAGGTATGGATAGAAATGTTGACTTATGCTGCAAGTCATTGTGGATGGAGACTGCATGGTCAACAACTTATGAATGGTGGAGAGTTACTCACTCACATATGTCTTCTTATGGCACATCTCGGTTTAAGTGAACAATATCAAATTCAAAAGCAAGAGATTCGATACTTTGAACCCTTCAACATATATCGTGAAAAGAGTTTTCTAGAAAGACTACTATAGCGGATTCGTAGCGAGGTTGAGATGTGGTGCAATCGCCATTTTCGCCATGGCCTTGTTTTAAGGCCGGGCTATAATGACTTTATACAAATGCGGTGGCTGAAACCTAGAAACTCGGTAACTCTACAGAATTATTATGATATGGTTTACTTTTTAAAAACATTTGTAATATCATAATTATTTTGTATTACGAATCAATTTAATTTCATTCTCTTGTACATATATTTCTAAATGTTACTATGGACTAAATGGAAACATATATTTTCCTGATGAATTAATTTGATTTGGTCATTTTTTAAGACGCTTTTGCTGTTTATGTAGGAACTAAATGTTGGCGTCTAATGAATGAGGAACCAACAGAAGATGAGGAGTCAAGTAAGTAGTAAGTAATCAGATGATCTAAAAACTTATACTAATTATTATTTGATAATAACTCAATATTGATATTTGGATCTAACACAAGTGATTGATGAAATGTGACTAGAATAACCAAATTATAGATGAGACTGGATGTGGTGAATGATTTGTTTCGCTTTTACGTATTTTTATTTATTTTAGCAATTACGTTTATTAGTTAGTAATATTTTGTATAAACTATCCTGTAAATTGCAGCCTGGAGATTTCAAGCTGGTGTTTCATGCATTGGGTGGATCTACATTTGTTCATATTATTCAAACTTGGACTGGATTTATAATTTAAGTCATATTTACACGTACATAAGAAGAAACTAAAGTTCAGATGAAATTAGCAAATTCATATATGAATTAAGATGACTGTAATAACCTTTTCAAGATGTTTGGAGAGGTACAATATATTATTATGTATATATTATCATTTTAATGTGAGTGCTTTGCAATGCAGTTTAAACAAAGAATTTTAACTACAGGAGAAAAAGAAATCATACAAAAGTAAAATCGAATATATACCATGCCATTCTAAAGCATCTTTAAAGAAGATAATCCCTTTAAATTAACTTTAGATTATGAATTAATAATATTTTATAATGACCATTCTGTTTGTTGAAGGATTTTTTTTTTTTTCTTAATATATGTTGTTATGTCATCTTCAATTACATGATTGGTGAGTTATTAGTGATATTATCTGTTTTGGGCCCACAAACTAGGTTACTAATTAACTTGTACGGTTTTGTCTTGAAAAAACATTTTTGGGTTTTTGAGGGTGTTTTTGTGCTATATAAGCGACCAAAGTCTTTATCTCTTAACCAATGTAAGAGTTTGACATCAACAACATAAATTAATAAAACAGAGGAAAAAAACAGTTCCATTTTTTTTTTTTTTTTAACAGAAGAGATTATTATAATATAAAACTTTTCAATCAGGATATATTTATGGCTTTGTTCTTCTAATTACATTTCGATTTCATTGTTTAACATAAGTTTATTATCAAGTTGATATAATTTAATATTTTCATTAAATATAATAGAAATTTAGTGGTCTATGCATGGTAATCAGCAAGTAATAATTTAGAACAACAACATTTATTAAGACATTAATATCTCCTCAAAATGAAACACCTCAATGCATAATACGTACAACGGCTATTAAATTTGAAATATCAAAAGGGAGAACGACACTTTCCCACCCAAGGTTTGGCGAAACGACCTTTTTCCATCCGATAAGTTTCAAAATGATACTTTCCCACCCTTCGTCAAGTTTTATTAGTATTTTCTGTTAATATTTAACTGAAAAGACGAAAATATCCTTAAATAGTTTATTTCTTAATTAGTTTATTATAAATTAAAATTTAGTTAAGTCAACGTTTTTACTCAATTATTTATCAGTTCAAGTGTAAAGAAATATTTTTGTTTTTCCTTTGTTTATTTAATTAATTAGGAATATTGATTTTCTATGTTAATTAATAAAAATGAAAAACATTATAAATTTAGTAGATTATTGAATAATAGTGATGGGGTATTGATGACATTATAGACCAATAAATAAATATTAATGTCATTTAACTTTAAACAATTGCATAACATTACTCTTAATTTTTTAGGTGGGAATTAATTATTTTTTCTTTTTTGACTTTTTAATATTTGACTTTTTGGCTAAATAAAAAATTTATAAAGTCAAATATTTAAGGGTATTTTCATTTTTTCAGTAAAATAATAATGAAAAACATAACAGAACCTAACGAAGTGAGAAAGTGTCATTTTAAAACTTGAAAGGTAAGACAGTGTGGTTTCGCCAAACCTTGGGTGGGAAAATGTCCTTCTCCCATATCAAAAATATTAAAATAGTTAACACCAATTCTCAACCGTTAATCCATTATAATCCATAGTTTAAGAGTTGATGAGGTGGAAATACAACAATCACCTTCAACTTTCATCTCATATCCGTTAGATTACAATAAATAAGTAACCATGAATTTGTATTCCAATTAGCATCTGGCTTCGCGAAACTGATTGGGATTAGCTTCTGGCTTTGGAAGCTATCAGGATTCGTTTTTGGCTTCGAGAAGCTGGTCGGGAATCCTCATATTTCAGCCGCCTACGCCCAAAAGCTGTTGACTCTTAGCTACGAGAACTTGGCTAAAGACCTTCAGGTTACAACCATATTGGTATCTTAAAAGCTTTCGGGATCCTAAGATTTTAGCTTCACGTACGTCTCGGAAGCTAGTCGTGAAGCTTCAGGAATTCATTGTCCGATGCTTGTTTCTAGCTTTACGTCCTCGAGAAGCTGGTCATGAAGCTTCAAGATTTGGCTTTACCTTGCTAGTTTTTAGCTTCACGTCCCAAGGAAGCTAGTCGTGAAGCTTCAGGAACTCATTGTGTGGTGCTTGTTTCCAGCTTCACGTCCTCAGGAACCTTGTTGTGAAGCTTCAACATTTCGCTATATCATGCCATTTTTCAACTTCACGTCCCTAGGAAGCTGGTCGTGAAGCTTCAAGATTTGTATGATGTCTCCATAAGCAGTTGCGGTTGTTCCTCAAACGACTGAAGCAAGCCATGGTTTGAACTTGTTTCCGTCTAATGTAAACTAAAAGGCGGAGAGTTACTCACTCATGTATGTCTTCTTATGGCACATCTCGATTTAAGTGAACAATATCAAATCCAAAAGGAAGAGGTTCAGTACTTCACCTCTAGAGGAGAAAAGCCATGGTCGATTTATCCCAGGCCGGGCTACAATGACTTTATAAAAAACAAGTGGCTGAAACCTAGAAACCCGGTAACTCTACAGAATTATTATGATATGATTTACTTTTAAAAAAAAATTGATAATATCATAATCATATCGTATTACGAATCAATTTAATTTCATTCTCTTGTACATATAGTTCTAAATGCTATTATGGACTAAATGTAACCATATATTTTCCTGATGAATTAATTTAATTTGGTCATTTTTTAAGACGCTTTTGCTGTTTATGTAGGAATTAAATGTTGACGTCTAATGAATGAGGAACCAACAGAAGATGAGGAGTCCGGTAACTAGTAAGTAACCAGATGATCTAAAAACTAATACTAATTATTATCTGATAATAACCCAATATTGATATTTGGATCTAACATAAGTAATTGATGAAATGTGACTAGAATAACCAATTTATAAAATGAGACTGGATGTGGTGAATGATTTGTTTCGGTCTTACAATTTTTTTTTTTTTTTTTTTAATTTGAGCAATTATGTTTATTAGTTAGTAATATTTTTTTTATAAACTATCCTGTAAATTGCAGCCTGGAGATCTCAAGCTGGTGTTTCATGCATTGGGTGGTTCTACATTTGTTCATATTTGAAAATAATGTGAAGCCAAAACGGGGTCGTTTCATTTAAGGCCATTACTGAAACTTAGCCATCAGATCAAGACAGATCCAAGGGCTGAGGATTACGAATGCAGACATATATAAAGAAAGCAACAGTGATGAAAACATAGAATACGTTTTTGTTAATCGGGTATTAGGGTTTGCAAAAGAGGAAAAAACTAGGGTTGTTTTTGCTGGGTCTTTCTGGGTGTAATCTGGGTTGATTGTGAGAGAGGGTTGCATTTCCTTCTAAAGGCTGGTATTTGTCCTCTGTTTTCTTGTAGATTATTGAGAGATTCTTGAGTGAATAGGCCTTGGTTGGGTGTTAATCTGTTTTTGGCAGATTTGTATGATTGCCTTCTTGTAATCGTTGAATATCTTCTTAGTGCTGTGAGTGTCCGTATTTCGGAGCTCAACATGGACGTAGTCTATCCAAGATTGGATAGACGAACCACGATAAAATTGTGCCTTGTGTTGTGTGTGTGATTCTTTGATCTTTAATCTTGTGTGTGGTTATTTGTATTGCGAATTTGCTTATCAGGCTTAGGTTATAATAGTGGTATTAGAGCTAAAGTTCTAAAGGGATTTAGGGTTAGAAATCGTTTGGTCTTCTTAACGAATTCTAAAATTAGGGTTTGTCAGATTTGGGGTTTTTTTTTTCGATTTCAAGATTCTAGATCGTTAGGACTTCAGATCTTGCTAAGTCTTGGGGTTAATTCGTGAGATTAAGTTACAAACACAAGGGATCAACGAAATTCGTACAAATTCTAAAATTAGCGTTTGTCAGATTTGGGGGTTTTCGAATTAAAGGCTTATAGGGCTTTAGGGTTTTCGAATTGTCCTTGAATTAGGTCGAATTGGTTAGTCTGAGTCACAAACACTAGCCAGGGGAGAAATCTGGGTATTTTCTAAGGGGCTGTAGTAGTCTTGTCACTTTATTCTTGTTTGTGTCTTGCCTTGTGTGATACAGTTTAAGGGTATTTAGGCTAGAACACCAGTAACTGCCTTAAAAACTGCCTGGCAGTAATTGGCAACTTCTGGTATAACAACGCCACGTACCCTTTGGCTGTTCTGCCCTGTTATTACAATACAATGAACACTACTCGTATGGAGATCTCCCAATATGATGGGAAGATCGATTTTAATACATGGAAAAAGAAGATGAAAGCCCTTCTTTCGCATAATAAAGTCGGGCTTGCCCTAGAAAAAGATGCCACCAAGTGGTCTGAAGAGAAACTGAAAAAGAAGGCTGAAGTGGATGAGGAGGCCTACAATCTAATCATAATGAATCTGTCCGATGCAGTCCTACGAAAGGTTGATGGCATGGAAACACCGCTCACACTCTGAGGTAAACTTGAATCCCTTTATTCCTTACAGTCTGCATCAAACTTAGCATTTCTTAAAGGAGCTTTATTTTCTTATAAAATGGATGTTACTAAGTCTGTAGAAGAAAACCTTGATGAGTTTCTTAAGATGACATTAGTATTGAAAAGAAAAGATCAGGAATTGGGAGAAACAAGTTTGGCAATGATATTGTTAAATTCACTGCCTGATGAGTACTTAGTGGTGAAGAATGCTTTACAATACACTAGGACAGTTCCCAGTGTTGACCTGATTATAGCAGGTCTTAAATCTAGAGAATTGGAGTTGAAAATACAGAAAAGGAATGGAAATAACCTATTTGTCAAAGGTAGATCAGATCCTGGACAATTAGGAAGGGATAGTAATAAGAATTTCCAGCAACAAATAAACCCTAGGGCTAAGAAAAAAAGGAAGAATAACAAGTCTAAGGGAGAAACTAGGAAGTGTTTCCACTGTAATAAACCTGGCCACCTTAAGAAGAACTGCTATAATTGGATAAAGAAACAAAAACCGCACAATACAGAGAGTAACTTAGCTAGCACTAGCACTGGCATTGAAGTTTCAGAAGCCCTCACTGTCTCAAACCATGCTAGCAGTAAGGAATGTGTTCTAGATTCGGGGTGCACCTTTCATATGAGTCCAAACATCCAATGGTTCCAGAACTTTAGGAAAGGAGAGTTAGAAACTGTC